TCAGGTGCAGTGGCCCATGCCTGCAATCTCAACATTTTGGGAGGCTGAAGTAGGAGGATCGCTTAAGCCCAGGAGTTCAAGACCAGCCTGGTCAACATGGAGAAACTCCATCTCTACTAAAAATAGAAAAAAATTAGTGGGACGTGGTGGTGCACACCTGTAGTCCCAGCTACTCAGGAGGCTGAGGTAGGAGAACTGCCTGAGCCTGGGGAGGTCAAGGCTGCATTGAGCCATGATGACTTCGTCACTCAAGAGCTCTGATGGAGATGTACAAGGAGATTAATGTTGTTGTTATGCCTGTTAACACAACATCCATTCTTCAGCCCATGGACAAAGGGGTAATTTTGACTTTCAAGTCTTATTATTTAAGAAATACACTTTAGGGAGGCCGAGATGGGCGGATCACGAGGTCAGGAGATCAAGACCATCCTGGCTAACACGGTGAAACCCCGTCTCTACTAAAAAATACAAAAAACTAGCCGGGCGAGGTGGCAGGCGCCTGTAGTCCCAGCTACACGGGAGGCTGAGGCAGGAGAATGGCGTAAACCCGGAAGGTGGAGCTTGCAGTGAGCTGACATCCGGCCACTGCACTCCAGCCCGGGCGACAGAGCGAGACTCCATCTCAAAAAAAAAAGAAAAAAGAAAAAAAAGAAATACACTTTATAAGGCTATTAAGCTGCCAGCCACAGTGATTCCTCTGATGGGTCTGGGCAAAGTAAGTAACTTTCTGGAAAGGATTCACCATTCTAGATACCACTTGTGATTCATGGGAGGAGGTCAAAATATCAACCTTACCAGGAGTTTGGAAGAAGTGGATGCTAACCCTCATGAATGACTTTGAGGGGCATAAGATTTCAGTGGAGGAAATAACTGCAGATGTGATACAAATAGCAAAAAACTAGAATTAGAAGTAGAACCTGAAGATCTGACTAAATTGTTGCAATCTCAGGATAAAACTTGAATGGATGAGGAGCTGCTTCTTATGGATGGGCAAAGAAAGTGGTTTCTTGAGATGGAATCTACTCATGAAGATGCTGTGGACAATGTTGAAATGACAACAAAGGATTTATTAATAGAACATTACATAAATTTAGTTGATAAAGCAGTGGCAGGCTTCGAAAGAATTGACTCCAATTTTGAAAGCTGTTCTATTGTGGGTAAAATGCTGTCAATGAACAGCATCACATACTGCAGAGAACTCTTTCGTGAAAGAAAGAGTCCATCAATGTAGCAAACTTTATTGCTGTCTTATTTTAAGAAATTGTCATAGTCACTCCAACAGTCAGCAGCCACCACCCTCATTAGTCAGTGTAGGGTCCAGCCCTATGGGGCTTTGCGGGTGTTCTCCCCGTGTGCAGAGACGAGAGATCGCAAGAAATAAAGACACTAGACAAACAGATAAAGAGAAAACAGCTGGGCCTGGGGTACCACTACCACCAAGACACGGAGACCAGTAGTGGCCTCCAATGGCTGGGCGTGCTGATATTTACTGTATACAAGACAAGGGGGTAGGGTAAGGAGGGTGAGTCGTCCAAGTGATTGATAAGGTCAAGAAAGTCACATGATCATAGGACAGGGGGCCCTTCCTTTTCAGGTAGCCGAAGCAGAGACAGAAGGCAGCATACGTCAGCGTTTTCTTCTATGCACTTACCAGAAAGATCAAAGACTTTAAGACTTTCACTATTTTTTTTCTACTGCTATCTTCTAAGAACTTCA